AAAAACATTCAAACATGTTGTGGTGAGACTTGGTGACCAAAAAGTCACCGACACCACATTTTTCAGTCCTCGGAGAGCTTTACCAGCTAACCCTTAAGCTAAATGGTTAGCAAATCAGCTAACCACTTAGTAACCTAGGGTTTGTTGAAGTGGCTAACCTCTAACAAACAAGCTAAGAGGTTAGATAAACGATATAAAGTTTATAGAGGTTAGCCTCAAACCTAGAAGTGGTTAGAGAGGTTATAAACCATTACTAGAAGTTATAACCTACTTACTAGAGCTTATAACTAGCTTATTGGAACTTATCTAACCATTTATAACTCTTCTAACCAATAAGATCTTCGCGGGACATCCCAGTACGGATCCTCACTCGTCTACGGACGGCCTTGGGTCTACGGATCCCAGTCTACGGACTCAACTCGTCTACGGCGATGACTCCGTACTCGTTGTCGCCCGCGTCATCGGAATCGTCGTCGTTTCGCCCTGGCAGGTGCATAGCGATGGAGGACAATGACCGTGGACGCCGTCGTGAACGCAAAGAGGGCAATGGCAAGGAGAGCAAAGACAAGCGGCGCCGTGACCGCCGGGACCGGCGTCGACGACCTGCGAAGAAGACGGACAGGCGGCGTCGACGAGACACCTCAGACTCAGATGTCCTCGTCGAGCCCACTGAGGCGGCCGACGGCAGCGGCGGCGAGAATGATGAGTCCAGGCCCGCGACGACACCAGCCGCCCCCACTCCTGCTGCGCCTGAGGCTCGAGTGAAGAAGATGCTTCGTCGACCAGGACAAGCTGCAGTGCGAAAAATTAACATCTCAGATTCAGAGTCGTCGTCCTATGAGACTGTGGAGGTCGACGACGAGGACGTGGCGGCTAAGGTCAATGCCCAGAATGAGCCAGCTGTCGCCGCTCCAGCGGCTTCAGCGCCGGCGCCGGCTAAGGCCGCCGCCGACGACAACGACGACGACAAACCGGCTCTGGCCGGTGGAGGCGACGTCAAGGGTGACGATGATGCAAATGACGACGACGAGCCTGAGGGCGACAATGACAAGTCGGCGGTGCCGCCCCAGTGGACGACCGTCGGCAAAGGCGCAGAAGCCGCAAGCGGCAACCCTCATGCCCGCGTTGTCTGCGCGACGTGCGGACGGAACGTCGGAGGAGGGGCTGCTGGAATATATCAACACGTCAGATCGCCATATCACCTGGCGTGTTTTTTGTGGCTCAGGTACTACGGTACATGGGATGAATGCGTGACTGAGGGGCAAAAAATGAGCGACCAGGCTTGGGAAGACGACCAAAGAAACGGTCCACGTCGAGTGCCGACTAACCCGAAGCGCAGCACCAAGACCAAGAAGAAGACGGGGACGACACCGCCCTGGACCGAAAACGGACCGGCGGACAAGAAAGGTCCCGGGGGTGGGCCAGACGACGACAAGGGTCCTGGTCCTGAGGATGGCTTTGGCACTCTTCTGCAAATGTGGCAGATGTCACTACAGGCCCTTATTGGGTCAGGGAAACAGTAGTCAGTGAGTGAGGCTGCATAGTTAGGCGGCGGCGGTGGCGCTGGTAAGGGCGCCCGGACCTGGACTGACGACGACACAAGTCCTCAAAAAAAACTGAGACGACGAGACTGCGTGCCGCCGTCTTCGTCGCCTCGCCGTCGTCGTCGTCGTCGTCGTCGCTTGTCTCGCCTGCCGCAGCTGTTGGATTCAAGTTCAGACCCGGCCCCGCCGACAGCGACTCAGCCACGTCCGCTGCCATGATGACAGTGACGCGTGTCCCAGCTTGAGCTGAGGGCTGGGCTGGCTACAGAGTGAGTCAGTCAGTCGGTCTACGGATCTTAGTCTACGGACGACGACTAGACTGATCCACGGATCTCTACGGATCCTTTTAAACAGTCTACGGACCGGTGTCTATTATTCTGAGACTTGTAGACCCCGGCGTAGGACAGCAGCATGAGTAGTCCGAGCCAAATAACTTCTGCGCGGCGGGGGTTCGGATCCGAATGATTTGCGGTTACGGTCCTGGTGGCGGTTGCTGCTATTGTTGCTGTTACGTCGTGGTTGTTATTGTTGTTGTCGTCGTCGTCATTGTCGTACTTAGTTGGTTGTCATTGTCGTATGATTTAATCCACCACCACCACCACCACCTTTAATTGACATCATTCGTCGGCCCAGTTTCGCGCGTCGACGAGTCATAATTATTATGACGGCGTTGTCGCACTTCGTCTCGTCGGCGTTGTCGTCGACGCACTCGTCGCGACGAATCGTCATGGCCGTCGCCGCCCTCAGTTTTTGTGGCTCAGCTGACGTCGTCTTCGTCTCGACACCTGGTCCTGGCAGCGGCTGACAATGCCACCTAAGAACGTGTCGGCTTGGCGGCTCAACAATGCCGAGAAGGCGGAAGTCCAAAGGCGGGTGAGCTTGGGAGAAGATGAACACGCCGTCAAAAAGGAGCTTCAAGAAAAGAAGGCCCAGGCCAACGACGACCGGAAGCGAGCGGCTGGTGCCATTGCTGATGCTGCGGCGCCTAAGCCGGCAGCGAAGCGTGCCAAGACTACGACTGCAGGCGGCGACCCAGTCTCTCCACCGCTTCCGGGCGACCACAGCGATCCAACGAACAGCGCTTACTACAAGGAAGTCCAGTCAGACAATTCGCCGAATTTTGGCTCAGTTTCCTGGCATGGAGTCGGCAAGCCCATTGCCATTGACAAATGACGCCGGAACTGGGGTGCAGGAGCCGTTCGACAAGTCAAAAGGTGAGGCAGCGCTTTTGACCCGCGAGGTCTACCGCTGCTCAATCCCTGTGTGGTGGCTCAGCCTGCTGAGCTCTCCCACGCCAGGTGTTCCTTTAAGCAGAAAGAGAACCAATGACATGGCCGAATTTTACTATCCAGACGGGAAGCCATCCTTCATGACAAGTCAGACTGTGGAGGTCCAATTTACAAACCCGGGGCTGTCAGCGACGCCAAGCAGTCTCCAGATGGTGAGCCCTGAGGAGATTGTGCATGCGCTGCTCGCTGGCTGCAGGCGCTGCATCGAGCCGCTGGGCTCTAATTTTCGTGGGCGAGTTGAAGTTCGATGGTTTTTAATTGAAATTTGTCTGATCTAAGTAATAACTATATTATATATTATATTTTATATAATATCATAATCGTATAGCCAGTGAGTCAGTCATTCCTATATTGAGTCAGGTCTGACCAGTGGGCTGTCCACAAAGACACTTGGCAATCAGTGCTGCTGAGTGTGCCGTGCAGCTTCCTGGTGATGCCGCAGTCAGTTCTGAGAGTGGCGGCGTTCAACCGGAGACAGGCTGTGTTACAGCAGCACGAATCCATGGCCCGAACCGGTATGCAAACCACGATTGAGGTGACTCATCTGCGGTCCATGCTCGAAGCTGCGAACCCAGCGGCTCAGAAAATGAACCACGCCCAGGTGGCAAGCGAACTTACTGCAATGGGCTTGAAATCCGTTGTTGCCGGCCGAAAGGCATCGGCAGATGATGATGACAGCGGGTCGGTGACAGGCAACCTCATTGCCAATTGCCAGGCAGTCTCAAAGTCAGTGCTTGTCTCGTCAAGATGCGTGGAACTCCTGATGGCGTTTGAGCAAGACTGGGGGACTCGCTCCCCGTTCCACAAGCTCGCATCTTTGGCAGCGCTGGCCAAGAAGCCGTCCAGCGCCTTCTTTCGTGAGTGGGCCTTGGAATCTCTATACGACGCCGTCGCCAACAGACTCATCCACGTGACAGACGTCTCAAAAGGGAGTCTTCTGGGTGACAAGCACCATTGTGGCCTACTGCCTCCGTATGAGACTAAGTGGAAGGCGTGGCAGTGGGGAATGCAATAATAAGTTAAATACGACTTTAAATTTAATCGTTGCATTTCCGACAATATATAGTTTTCCAAATGTTTACCTGGTTTTCAACCATTTACCGCTACGCTGCAGGTTCTGACCCACTTCTTTGACGAGCTGCTGCCGAAGAGTGGCATGCAGTCGGATGACCGAGCGCTCCTGAAGGAAAAGCTCAGTGACCACAAGTCATTTAGAGAGTCGTCAGGGGACGGCGATGTCACCTGGATGAGCAGACTCAAGAAGAGCGGCCTGGGCGCCTTTGAGTTGATGCAGGACCTTGTCTATGACAAGAAGTATGACAATCAGATGCGAATGGCCGCCAAGCAAGGCGGCTCTCCTGAACAGGTCATGGAGTTCAGTGACGTCGCTGATGCCTGGGCGGCGGTGAAAGCCCAACTTGCCAATGAAGAAATTGAGAGAAAAGCCGCAGAGAAACTCGAGGGTGCCGGCGGGGACGAGAACGACAATGAAGACGCAGAGTGTGTGGAGTCAATGAGGAAGGCACCCAACAATTTTCCAATGAATTCAGGCCCATACTGGCGCGCCGTGGCAAATCAGACCCTGCGGACTTACATCACTTTGGCGGTCGAGCCAAAGACTCAGGACATGGTCACGACAGCTGTGGAAACCTGCCCGCTGAAGGACTTGAAAGCCGGCCCGGTGTTCACTCACCTTGACTTGGGCTTGCTTGGGGAATCGATGGGGCCTGACCAACAGCCGCGCTTGAGAAAGCGCTTCAACCCGGACGACAACCTGCTCAGAAAACTGATTCATGGAGCCATGGCGGGCAGGGGCGGGCAGAAGAACTCTGCAGGCGAATGCACGGTTCCAGCTGAATCCGAAGTAGTGCTG